TTGTAAATATTACTAGGATCTACTAGTTCAGCCTAGGCTTAAGACTGGTTTCTCCTATCGGGCTTAGGTCAGACCAGTTTGGCAAAGGCTTTATGGGTTTATTCAATCACATGTAGGTGGAACTAGTTTAGCCTGGGTTTAGGCGGTAACATACCTACATACATATATAATACAAAAGAGACCACTCGAGTCAGAGTAGCACAAAGAGTGGAGTTGAATATGTACAATCAACGATTTTTATTATACCACTTGCTAGGTTAAATCTAAAAAAAAATCATTGAAGCTAAGTAAATATCTGTTTCCACTTAATAGGTAACTAAACGTGTAGCCCTCGACTTTTCAAGTTTAACATTTCTGGCCACAGATTTTTATGGTCTCAGGGTTCGCTTTGTCGCTTACACATATGTTATGGTTGGGCCGAGCTTCTGGTGTTCTTACACAAAAAGCTGAGAAGCTGTTTTTCATGGCAAAATACACTCGGAGGTTTGCCATTGCCTGCTGTTAAGAAAAAACCTTTTCTGTATATTTTTTTGTTGCGATGTTGCTTTGACCAGGCCTTGAACCTAGGCTTTGCGGAGTGGAAACTCGCACTGCTTACCACTAGACCACAGCGGCCGCCACTAATGTATACGCATTATAAAAATACCGCTGGACTATTCGATCTCTGAAGAAAACTAGTTTAGAACTAATCGAATTGGCTGCGGGTTTTATAGAAACTCACATTCATTCGCACAAATGGGCATCTACATACATACATGCAAACACATATTTAAGCGCTTATGTGAGCAAAAACTCTATTGTATAAAGATACATATACACATATGTATGTATTTATGCATAATGTGTGTATGTACATTAGGATGCCTCGCGAAAAAAATTTGCTGCTTCCCGCGCGAATTATGATATACAGGATATATCTTTTACGATTCTCGCTAAAATATTGCGGCTCAAGTTATTATTCTTTTCACCAAAACCTTTGGATGACAGAAGAATGTAAACTTATGAGGTCTGCATCAAAATTAAAAAAAAAACTAAACTTGTTCGGTTTTGAGATTTGTAATTTAACTTTCAGAAATTTTTAAAGCATTTTGTTTTCTAAAAAAAATTTCTTCAACAATTAATTTTTGTAATTTTTTACTGAGAAAAATTCCTTCGTAAGTTTCAGCCTTTTTTAACACTTTTAGGGGACTCACAAAAGATGTTAAGCGTCGTAAAATCTTAAGGTTAAGGTTAACATTTTTAACATAAAATCTTAGCATAACGGTTAAAATGGTTTTAGGGCGCTACCTATATGTTTTATCGGTTCAAAAACTTTTTGGTTTAGTTAGAAATCTTCTAAAATCATTTTAATCAATATTTTACATAACAAATGTTAAGCTTAAGATTTAACGATGGTTAACACGTCTTGTGAATCCCCTGAATGAAAGACCTGGAAAATACCACTTCATTAATGAAGATGAAAATCAGAAGCATGTGAGTTATTTATTTTTATTGCATCAAAAATTTTATTAAGTTTAAGTAATAGCTTGCTGACCATATTTAAAAAAAAAAAAAAAAACGTTTGGGATACTATTTATTTTTTCTTAAAAAAAATCGATAGAAAGGCGTTTGTTCAATTCTATACTGGTCACGAGGAGTGACGCTAAATTGGGCAAAAATATTTTGGTGGAAGGTATATAATTTATAGAAAATCATAAAATTCTCTTGGGGGAGTATAAAAAATTTGTTTTTTATATGTGGCGTGAGACGGTCTAATGTGCGTATTATTGTACATGTATCCACTTAATTGTTGTATATGTACATTATTAATTGAATTTACAAAAAATTCCATAGAGTCTCTCTTGCACTCTTCTTAGCACAAGATCGCTCTTTTCATATTTATGTACATACACATATGTATACCACCAACTACATTGACAATTATCTCTTACGATTTCTTGTTTTCGCACTCTCTTCTAATGTTTACAACGCCGTTTTGCTGCCTTCATATATTTATAATTTTTTTCTTTTCGCTGCAATATTAACTAGCGACTTAAAGCCTTCAACTCTGTTTCTTTGTTTTTGCGTTTCACAGTGTGACTTCGTAAACAAGTTAGCCTATTAAATTTATTTTGCATCATAACTGGTATTTGAATTGCTGGATACATATACTACTATTCGTGCTTTCATTCTTAATCAGGTTTTAAGAAATTAAAAATTAGCTTGCTGCTTTTCGATGAAGTGATAATAAGAAATTTGTATCTGATATAATTTTTTAATGCCAACCTCACGGAACGTAGTTAGCCATTACGAAGACTTTAACGATTGATTTTCATACTATTTTTTTTTTAATTTTGCTTTTCGAACACTGATTTCAGCCAGGTTTTTATTATCTAATAAACCGGTTTTATAAGCAAATTTTTTTATATAGCATCTTAACTCTTTATAATAAAGAGATTAAGGAATCCAAGCAAATAAGTTTTAGCAGGCTCTCTGAAAGCTTAGAGAGAGCAACAGCAGTATAAGGACTCTATAAAGTAATAGCATTTCATCCGCAAGCCTAAGGAAGAGTAATGGGAGCTTTATCTGACAAAATTCTGAGACAGAAGGTACTGAACAAGGTAGAAGAATAGGAAGATAAAACTGATTAGTAGCTACGGGAATACATTTAGAGCACCGACTGATCTGGACGGTGAACAACTTCAAAGCACTGAAGTCACCAAAAGCTGATGCCCCAGACATACTACCGCAGGACATAAAGCTCGTCATTTAACCGCTATTAAAGATAGTCAGAAGTACCGAATTCGTGGAGAACAGTAAAGGTAGTTTTCATGCCGAAGGTCGGAAAGTAAGACACACTGCATCCAAAATCCCGCGGGACTCAGTTTATTTGAACAAAAGATTTAGAAGAGGTTCTAAATAACTACTACCTAAATACTGCGGACTCTATTATGTTAGCATTTCAGGGTAATATTATATATATATATATATATATATATATATATATATGTATGGACTTTGAAGTCGAAGCTGTGCCCCAAAGAAAAATGAGATGGTGCTTAGCGAGATAAAGGGCAGGAACTTTCCCAACAGCATCCTTGTCAACATCGGGGCAGAAGTGTTTCTGAGTTGTAGGAAGATTGATATGGCAACGAAGAAGTACTCTGAACTTGCAATACTCAAGGTTACCTTGCATTCAAAATCCAGATTTACCAAAAAAATTTGAAAAAGATAATACAAGTGAGTGGGCAGGCATATCCGAGACATATGGTAAGTACCAATGGCCGATTTCCGGCATTGCCTTTTTCTTTTTTTGCACTGCGCCCAGGTATACTTTACAAAGTTACCACGTTTTTACTTTGTTCTTTGTTGAAGGTTAAGATAGCAATACATTTGAAAATTAAGAAGAAATAATTGTATCACAGGCTAAAGACGATGTAGCATGTGCTCATTTGGAATGCTAGCTAAGTATAGATCTTTCTTTGCCTGATCATGGAACGATTACACATTTTGTTACCGAAACTTAATAATTATTTGTTTACCACATTTCCACATCGTTATCTTTTACTAAATAATTTGTTTGTTTTGCTTTAGTTCTTTGTGCATAGTTAATCATCTACTATGTACATAGTTAAGGGTCTTACATTTTACCGAAAACTACCTGCTCTATTTAGAATACATAACTCCGTCTACCTCAGAACCACAAGTCAGTCAACTATTCAGCGTCAAATCATACAAATGGTGAATTCACACTAAGTCTTCAAGCTAATAATTTTTAGAATATCGAAAAATGTTGAAGATGCTGCAAAATCATCCATTCGCATACAATTTTCTGTTTGTTGGATTTATTTTTGTTTTGCGAAAAGCATTACAAGTTTTTTGTACAGCTGAAATGAAAATCGAACGATTGAGCCAATGGCCAGTAGAGGAAAGGCATTTGCTCACAAGGATTCCTGTGATACATGAAAATACTGGAAGTGGACATCCAATTTGAAAAATATGTACATATTTATTTATATTGAAGAAGGAAGCTTGTTTTGCGGTAGCTCTATATATTCATTAAGTGCTTAGAAAAATAGATTTTACTTTAATAAAAAAAATAGTTGTTAAAAATATGCAATAAGTAAATATACAAACGTATATTTTATTTCATACCGAGATTTAACTAATGGGTCTATTGCGGAGGGTAACTGAACTCAAATTGAGTTGCCAGTGACTGAAATAATATGACAGATACACATGCTCGTACATTTGATCCCATTAGAGGCAAATCTCTTTCCTTGATATAATATGGATTTGGACATTGTTGCAAGGTCGTGCAAAGTCTGGCTTAAGCAGTATCTAAAAGAAGGAATCATGAAGAGTCCCACAAAAAAATTTCAAGAAAAGTACATGACAGTACAGTGTTTAGATTGTCCAAAAAAGTTCGAATTCGTTGATATCTTTTTACGAAAAAACCCCTAATTTTGACACATTACTCTAGCTACGTCCCTCATGGTCTAAAAATTGTTTTTATTCCATAAAAAAAGAGCATCGTTTTCCAGCGTCCTGGTATATCACCGTGATGAACAACAGACCACATTTGAAAATGTCTATTTGCTTTTTGTACTTTTCAAAAAACAGAGTTTCAAAACCTCAAATTTGACCTACCAAAAAAATAACAAGATGGGCTTTAACACACCAATGGATAATTTTTTCTATGTAATTGGACATTTCTTAACAAGTTAGAATTGTTAAAACATCGAAATTCCATTTTGATTTTTTCCGGCTAAAATCGTTATATGGGCCATTGTGGGACGTGTTTTTACTCTAAGCTAACGATATGTTCCATGACTCAATCGGCTTCCCCCTTTATCCGGAAAATGTTTGTATAAGGATTTGTACACGTTCATATATTTATGCCTATGCCGTTACAAATAACCGTTATGTGAACCTAACCTATTTGAATTCATGTTTCATGCGCTTAATAGCTGGTAGAAAATAGAAAGAAATAGGTATAAATGAATTTAGTTTATAATCTGTATTATTTTATTAATCGTATATTTCATTTTATTGTTTATAGTTCGACACAGACCATTAATAAATATTTTGTTAACATTAAATTAAACAGATCACGTAATATTTACAAGGCAACTTATACTCAACAAATGGTATATTTTAGCTTATTACTTAAGAAAAATTTACAAAATCTACAATTTTATGCCTACTCTAGTAACATACATATGTACATATGTATGCATATATGTATGTGTGTTTATATATTTATAGGATTATATGGATGTTTATGTATATGTATTATAAAATAGCTACAACTTAAAGGTCATTTCGATATACATACATATGCGTTTATGGTTTAATAGGTACCTAAGTGCATTCCCTTAGTTGGAATTTTCGTAACATATTAGTTTTCATAACGAAAACTCTAGACCAATGCTAGTGCTCATATAAAACTTAGAAATGTGATTTTAATTAATTTCTTCCACATAAGCTGGTATCTAAGATAATCAGTCCACACCTCACACATGAATGAACGAATACATATGGACTACATCATGGCAAATTATTTACACATGTATACTTTTCAATTTCTGTTCAACATGCATGTAGGAGAGCATACTGAAATCCAAAACAAAACCCAAAAACTTAATATTTAGCTTTAAAAGCTGATTACACATCACTATGCTCACTATGAATTTAGCACTTAATTAATGCAAAATTTTTATTAAAATATCCACAACAACTGTCTGACTTCGGTTCCGCGTGCTGCTCATCGCACAGATATGCCATTTATGGTGATGACATTTCCGGCCGTCGGTTCAGGTTCGTAGACCTCTTCGTTGGTGCGCATCTCGTATGGCGCATCGTAGAATTGTTCGCTAGGTATTTGGTCGTAAATGTTCTCTGTGCAAAAACAAAAAAAAACCAAAAAGGAAACACACAACATTAAATTAGACACGTTAACATCCCATTTCTATTTATTTCATAAGCAATCGCCCACTCTTTGCTCTCACACACCTGGCTTCCGTCCAATGGACGCCGCATTACCATTCGTCCCACCTCTTCCGTTCACTTGAAACGTATTGAATGTCGCTGGTGGCCCATTGTCCAAATTCATGCGATTATTCGCTTCCAAGGTGGAATAGGACATCACAGCTGCGTTACGCTCATCTTTGGTCTCGGCCGCTTGTACATTTTCGGTATTCTTAACCGGACGCGCCTTGTTGCGGTGCAAGAATATCAGACCAATTACGAAGAGCAGCACAATGATAACTGTTGCACCGATCGCTATGCCAGTACCCAAACTGGAGCTCTCCTGCGCCTCTGTGGCTGCGACCTCACAGCGCGGTTCATCGCCACTCCAAGTGCCATCTTCGGTACACTTACGCAGATATTGTCCGATGCGGTTGTAGCTTGGTATGCAATGATACTCAGCAGAGCCGCCATATAAGGTAGACTCATTCACAATAATCACGCGGCCGTTCTCGATCATCGGCGGACGTCCGCAGTCAACAGCTAAAAACATTAAAATTTAATCAAATAGAAGCATAGTTTCAATCAAATCCGACTATTTGGAGTAGTTGTCCATTACTTACGCTTGCAGCTGGGACTTTTTCCAGTCCATTTGCCATTCTTTTGACATACTCGCGTATCATTGCCAATCAGTGTTCGTCCCTTAGCGCATTTGAATTTCGCTAGCGCACCCACAGAGTGCTTGCCTGCATCGACTATAAGATTTTCACTAATATCTGGCTCATCGCATGTGATTTCTATGCAAGCTGGTTTTTCGTGGCTCCATGTGCCATCTTCGGCACACAAGCGACGTGATACTCCATCCAATTTGTAATTAGGATTACATTCGTACAATGCCGCTGCACCATAGTAAGTCACATTTGTTGCCAGGGTGACTTTGCCGTTCGTAATATTAGCTGGAATACCGCATTCGACATCTGAAAAAAAAATAAATAAAACGGAAATCGGTTATTTCGTTGTGAAGTAATTTCACAATTCAATTGGTTTCCCTGTTATGATGGTAACAAAGGCATTAGAATTTAATTTGGCAATGCTAGGAAAAAGGAGATAATCAAAGTATATACTATAGGACTGTAAAACTTTCAGCAACATTTTATAAATCTAAAACGGCTACGAAGCCAAGTGCTTCAGTCATTTGGAGTAAACTATATAAATTGATGGAAAAGCAAGTCAATTAGATTCGAACCTGTGAAAATTCAACCTTATTCACCCAGGATCATAGATTTTAAAGAGCTCGACAATTGCAAAAGTCCATAGCGTTCTTATAAGGAAGGAAATCCTCAAGTTGTGAGGGGTGGCAGTTATTTGCCAACGACTTCCGAGTCCCAAGTCGATCTTTTCACTTTAGCGTCTTCATCCATATGTACGTTATGCCCTAGCATCGTTAAAAAGCTTGTACAGTTAGTCATTCCATTTGCATCGATACCCATCACTCAAGATGACAGGATCATATATGCTGAGTAAAATAGGTCACTCGAAAGCTTTTGTTCGACATCGTCCGAATTTCTACTCCGTGAAAAGGGAAGGCATTAGGAGATATGTAGATATTAAGCCTCAACCATAAATAGCTTTGGACTTCACAGTTGTCTGATTTATTCCACAAATATTTGATTCGGGTAAATTATTGTGGTAGATGCAGTATGTCACAAATCGGCGGTTGGAGACAGTTAAGCGCCTCGCCTATCTACATTACCGAACTATGTCTACCCATCTTATCGGCTATTTCGTTCCCTTCAATATTGCTACGTTAGGCTAGAATTAAGAGTTTAACCCCTTCTGCCCCTCCTATACAAACCAGAGTGTGGAGTTGACCAATTTTAACAATCGACTTATCTTTACGCCCGCTATTCCACACAGGTCTCCTATGGTTCCAGCGCCCAATAGGTACCTTCCTGTTTCATTCTCGTCGCCGTAACTCCTGCAGAAGTCGTTAAACAGCGTCCCGAGTCTCACGGCGATGTGACCGGTCACCGGTCAGCAGACTCAAAGATACTTCTTTTCCCCTCCCATTTTTTCTCGTATCATTCCGACGAAATAAGCTTTGTCACGTTGAATATTTCCAGCTGATACCATCTTTGGCCTGCTTCAGAGACGGATAATGCCTGTATATGTAGTGAGCTTGCAGGTAGCGAGCATCTTTCCCAGTCTCTTCCATGACAGATAAAGTGGAAGGGAAGCGCCCTTTCTTGCAAGCTCATCCGCCAACTCATTGCGCAGTATACCTCTGCGTCTTAGTACCCTTGCCAGTTGAAGAGTGAACTGCTCTGCCCTCACGTTAAGTGATCTGCGGCAACTCGTTATAGTTTCCGAGTTGCATGTGAGAGAACCCAGATCTTTTAAAGCCGTTTTGCTCTCTGAGAAAATTTAGATTTTCTTCAGTCCTCAAGCATTCGATAGATTTCTGTATAGCCGCAAGAACGGCTTGAAAAACGCAACAGTAGTACGATAAGTCGGAATGACTTTGGTCCTCCTAGTTGTTCCGAGTGCACTCCTCTCCGACCTTGTTATCGATTTTGTATCCGTCAGTGCAGAACTGAATAGAAGCCGTGGATCCAGGTAACATCTAGGGTGCATTGATCTCTGCTAGGAATTTCTAACTTATATTTTTTGTCAAAGGTCGATATTTTTATGTCCAGGAACAAAGCAGAGAACAGTGCTCATGTGGCTCTGTTATTCATCTTTGATGTATGCTCAAACTCATAATATAGTTATGCGCGACATTTCCGAACAATTCTTGATTCTACTACTTTAGATCCTAACGCTTTCAATGCTGCTTGGCGATCAACAAATAGCATCGCATATAACTAAATTGCTTTGTTTCAACACTCGTCTGCTCTCAAATGCTCTAACAGATTCCTACCTAACAGGTTTCTCAATATAACTCTGCGTTTCCTGTTGGTTTTCAGAAACCCTAAATTAAGATTGCAGAGTTGAAGCAAAGCTGAGGATGGAGATAAAGATATAGCCCCAATATCGAACAAAGTAAAACCCGAGTCATTCCGGTACGTAGAACCGGCTGTCGTGGGAATGAGCCGGCTGACGTGGACGTTACAGAACTTTGTCTGCCTCGGGAGACCCGCACCAACTTCGCTCTTATTCACCCATACATAAGTCGGTTGGAATTCTGGCGATGGGTGCCCCGTAGCTATTGTCAAATGACCAACTCAATTATAATACTTACATACGCATTCCGGAACTGCACCACTCCAATGGCCATTGTCTTCACAAGTCACAAGAGCCTCGCCGACCATCTTATAACCGCGTTCGCAGCGGTATTTAGCCAAGGCGCCAACCCTGTGTGAAAAAATTTTAGTGGAATTTGGAATTCTGCTAAGTTTACTACTATTTTTTCGCTTACTTATAAGTCTGTGCGCTATTCTGTGTCGAGTCGGCTGTACGTATCAGCGTGCGACCGTACATGCGGTCATTTCCTGTGACGGAAAGCAAACTGTGCGCGGCCAGTACAGGTTCTGAGCAACGGATTTCTGGGAAAGACAAAGAGTGGCTATAATTATGAACAATACAAAAACTGGACGTAGAAGAGGCTCTTTTACCTTCACATTTCGGCGTCGCATCGCTCCAACCGCCTGATTCTAGGCAAACACGCTTGGCGACACCATTCAGCTTGTGGGACGGAGCGCAACTGAATGTTACCTCCGAACCCACGAAGGTGGTATTTTGGATATATCTTATGGAGCCGTATGGTATCGGGGTGATAACACCACAGTCGATATCTACAAATGAGAACTTTCATGGTCTCCGGACTTTTGCTTTCATTACCTAACTATGTACTCACATTCGCAGAACGGTGCATCTGCACTCCACTCGCCAGTGTCCAAACATTCCAGCGTAGGATTGCCGCGCAGCACATGCCCCGGATCGCAGTTGTACTGAATCTTTGAGTGCACATTGTAATCATAGCCAACAACAAATGAACCGGCAGGCACATGGGGCGTGTCACAAGCGACCAGCTCACATACTGGCGCATCACCAGACCATTTACCCTCCTTGGTGCAGTATAACTCCGATGGACCATCCAACCAATAATCATCTTCGCATTCATATTTCACCATCGAACCAACAGTAGTGGAGGCATTCACCAGCACTGCATGACCACGATCGGGACGCGCTGGTGCGCCACAATCGACGAAGCGACATGATGGTGGCTTACTGGACCATTCACCGCCAAGACCGCAGGAAATTATCTACCGCAACAATAATAAAATTTGCAAAAAAAAAAACACAGCATAAATTGAAATCATAATCCAACGCTGCAGTTGCGCATAAGTAATTGCTGCTCGCTACCACACTTGCTATTGAAATCAAAAGTTGACTCACCGGTTCGCCCACCAACACATAACCGGCCTCGCACTCATATGTGGCCGTTGAGCCGGCGCGCTTATCCGTCACACTTACGCTGCCGCCGGCGATGCGTGGCGGCTCAGGACACCAATCGACCAGACATTCCGGCTGCTTGCCCGTCCAACCAGTCAGCGCACAAGTGCGATTCTCATTGCCAATGAGCGTGTAATTCTCGTGACAAGTGTAGGTCGCCTGTACGCCATAGCTGGTGCGTTGCTCCGAAAGTAGAATGGCGCCATGCTCCAGTTCCGGCAGCGGACCGCAATCGACATCTATGGTGTGCAAGAATAGTGATTGAATTTAAAATTATATGCGCTTTTTTTATTGTAACTACTCACATTTACATGTGGGCGCCCTTCCGCCCCAAATACCATCCGCACGGCAAGTGCGCTCCGCATCGCCGATTAGCGAGTGGCCCTTTGGACAAACGTACGTGATTTTATTGCCCAGCGTATAATTTCGGCCTACAATTGTGGTGTTCTGCTGCGAGTCCGGCGAGCCACACGAAAGCGGCGCTAAATCAAAAAGAGCGTGTGTCGGTATTAGTGTGTAATTAGAAGCGAACAAATGAAACATTCTTTGTTAGATGGCTTTGTTTTTATCTTTTTCAAACTCACAATGCTGGCAAATAAAATGCAGGTAGTCCAAATTGCAGCCCACATCATTCCACAACCAGTTGCGTCCGCCATCCAACACCACACAATTTTGCTCGCCATTATAGTTGTTCGGTTGATCTTTGCCCCAGGCCGGTTTCTGCACCAGTTCGCCTATAAATATTTGCAAACAAGTATTTTATTAAATATGGCTGTAAAACGATGTTAATATTTATTTAAAAATTAACATTCGCGCAAGGCTAATAAATCGCTATTAACGGTCACATTGCGGGCTCACACTGTTTTTGTTTATAAAACTAGCAACAACGCGTAGCGTATATAATTAATTTACTGTAAATTCACTTTTTATAATCGTTGCATGGAAAACTAGTAATTAAAATGCAGCGTGGCACGCCAAAGACTTTCGTTTTTCAAAGAACATTTAGTGGCTCAACCAAATATGGTTGCACGCTAAAATAGCCCCTAGCCGCCTTGGCCAACTGCATTTGCATACAATTATCGCTTATTTAGCACACCCATTGTTGTTAACTGCGTGTAATGGTGGTATTCATTTGAATAGCATTCAAAAAGCGACCTTTTCCTTTTAAAGCGTACTCGTATTGTATTGTTTTTCGATAACTGGATTTTCTAGAAATATTTTTGTTAACGAAATCGATATTGGTTTTCACTTTTTATTGTGTTTGGGGCCTTTTTTTTGTTTGTGTGGCTTTCTGGGCAAGCAAGTTGGTATGTCGAATTTGGTTGAAATTAAGTATTAAGGGCATCCCCATTTGTTTTCAATGCCACTTTCTTACGGACTTGTGGAAATACATATTTTAAACGTCTACCTATAACTTTTCGCCGGCACTAATTATATGTATCTTTTATATTTACAAGCATTATAATCAGATACCTTTGTAGAGAGCTGCAAACCGCTCATCAAGCTTCATTTCATTTGTATATTCAAGAATTAATGAAAATAGGAAACTAATCAGTGAACATAACAACAACATACGCCTCATTTATGCGCACGCTTCAACGCGCGAGAAGAATGAAGAGACTAAAGGGGCAAATCTACCAGCGCCTAGAGGAAGCATATGAGCGCTGCCTCCGCAGCGGTTTTAAAATCGTGCTTGGCGACTTCAATGCCAAGGTGTGCAAAGAAAATAATATTTAGTTCAAAAGTCGGAAAATTTAGCCTTCTTGACCAATCGACTTATCCGCGGTACGGAACATCGTACTTAGAAGTACCAGACAGCAGCATGGAAACATTCACAAAGCTACTTGGATATACCCTGATCAAAGAACGAAGGCCCAAATTGATCATGTTATGATAGACGGAAGATATGCTTCTTAATGTACTTCTTAACGCTTTTAAACGGCTACATCGATGGCGCGTTTTATAAGGAATATCCAGGGCCAATGTTTTAGGGATGATGGTAACGTTCCTCTACTTGAGTAAGACGAGGTGAGCACAGCAATAGGTCCGACTTAAAAACAACAAGGCCCGGTGATTGATATTGGAATCTCAGTGTACTTTGTCCAAGCCATCTTTATGATGCTTATAAATCCCGTCGGCAATGGTATGTTATAGACCTAAGCCCTTCAGCCCAAGTCAGTCTTCCATTTTCCATATTTTCACAGCACGTCAAATCCCGGAGAAGACACTAGATATGCAAATCGGCACACACCGTCTTTATGACGATTTAAAAACCGCTTTTGACAGCACTAAGAGAAGTAATGTAGACTGATGTTGAGCACAACCTTCAGTCCCGCTTAAGCGATTCACTTCTCGTGCGACTTTTTCAATTTGATACCCGAAAACATAATAAGAGCTGCCAATTTGCAAAAGAACTATGCTGCCGGCGTATGCAAATGAATTTAACATTGTTGGCCTGAAACCCAGGAATGTCAGCACAGCATTTTCAAGCTAAGAAAAAGAAGCTAAATAAATTGTTCTAGCGATGAACGAGAACAAGACAAAGTACCTCCTGAAAACACATTAAAAGTCTTCGCGGTTCGGGATGCACATTTCTGTTGGCGGTTACAACTTTGAGGTAGTTATAGACTTTTTCTACCCAGAATCCAGCATAAACATCACCAATAGTATCGGCCTGGAGATCAAGTAAAGAACAGGTGTTACTTTAGGTTCGGTAGGCAAATGAATAGCAGAGCATAGCGCGATGAAAATGTCATGACTAGTTAAGCGAAAATATCCTTCGACTCACCGCCCATGGATGGACAACAAAAGCAAGCATGGTGAGATAATTTAGTACATATTTTCTCCCGGTACACTTAAAGCTCTTAAAAATTTTTCTTTTTAATACTGTGTAACCTAGTACCCCAAAGGTGTATCGTAAGGATGCATAGCAAGCCATTAAACATTGAGGCCCCTGTACAAGAGTGGGAACTTTCCTACGCGAAGAGCCCATAGGTTCAGTGCTTCTGAGAAACTTATTGAAAACTCCTTGCCTATCCCAACAAAAGACACGATTACTTTAGAAATGAATGTGTTTTCTAGAAGGCATTCAGTTAACATGGGCACGTCATTGATGGAATTTGCATTCCCCGTAATGGGTTAAAGAAGCGAAAGATGTTTCGAAAGTAATACCGTCTAGAATACGTTCCCGGCACAAAATCTGGAATCACTTTAAATGGAAACGTGTTCTTAAGGGTGATATTACTTAGAATATCTAAACTATCTTTTGCTTCATTAACCCATTACGGGGAATGAAAATTTTTCTCAAAGCCAACACCGCCAATGACATGCCCATTTTAAAGAAATGCCTTTCAGGGGCGAAAGTGGAGGCGGTTGCCAATTTCTTTTAATTCCACATTCATTTTTTTCCGGATTTTTTGCTGGAATAAAGCATATGTACATAAATACATATGTATGTATGGCTTTCCGCGTTATAACTTGGTACCTGTAGATTAAAATTCTACCTGGATATAAAACGCAACGGAAACCAGGAGCCTTCCAAATAATTTGTGGAATTCTGAAAACGATGCACGCATGTGTGTACCTAGAAATTCGTAAAAATATGAGTGCTTTGCTAGGTACGGTAATTAATGGTCTTTCAATATCTCGCAGAAAAGATACCTAGATTATTTTTTTAAACACACGCACGAGATTATTTACGGCGCATGTGTGTCAGGAATATTTATGTACTACAAACAAAGATTTCCAGGGCCATTTTATGTTTACTTTTCTGTCTAAATTTTGATCAACACAAACTACCTGTCTGGCCTTATAAACTCAGCAGTCAAGCTTGAGGAAGCATCAGTGATCTCCTTGTCGCCAGCACAAAAGCTCCTACTCGTCGACGAAATTAGTTTATAATTCCAAGATATTCGAAGATGCTGTTTCCCGTTGGCTTCGCTTGCTTCGGATTTGTTTTCACTTTACAATTATTTTTATACGTTTTCTGCTTATTAGAAACTAAAATCGAACATCTGGGAGATATTCGGAAATCGAAGCCTATGGGGAAAACAGAAGGAACGAAAAGCTAAACAGCTGACATATGTGGATCTTATAACATGCGTAATAGCTACCACAATGTTGGGCTACTAGAACTGAGGAATAAAAGTTCGATTTTTTGTATGCCTTAATATTTTTGTTTTACTTAAACTAATATAAAAGGAATTGTTGAAATATACTTAAAGGTAAACTTTGATATTCTACATTTGTCTTCCCATAGACCCTTTTATTTGAAGTTAAATAATAATCGTATTTAAAAGATCACAAGGACTTTCTATTGAATTGAAAAAAATGTGTTTAGCTTTCCTCAAGAAATTTCAAATTTAATTTTTTAATAATGTTATGTTTTACAATATTCCTCGCTTAGTTGAACTTTAAAACTTGCACAATTTTTGATTCAATTAACCGGGGAATTAATTAAGCGGGACAAAAATTTAAGGTATATCTATTTCCCATAGCACATGTTCTTAACCAATTATGCGGGAAAACCAATTAATCGTGGGTCAGTTAAGCGAGGAATACATAAAAATGGACACGGATGAGGTTTCCTAAAACAGCCTCTGTCACCACAATTAACTGATTTGAACTGAAAATTAAAATATTTTATAAAAGTAACCAACCATGGAGGTCAAAATTATAACACTGTACAACAAAACCAAATGTTTTTCAAATTAACAAAGTTTTGACAACGGTTCTGGTAAAGAGGACCAGAACCATTTGAATGTCTCCTGGATATGCTTATGGGAAAACGGAATATGAAACCAATTGATCCTCACAGTTCAAGCAGTTTTATGTAAGACACGACGGAGAACATTTCTGTAGAACATTTTAACACTCTGATTTTCCAATTGTATACATAAAACAGGGATATAATTGGTTAAGATATTTTACAAAAGTATTTGCCATTAACTATAAGTACGGTGACTGTAGTTATTGGCAGCCAAATACGGGACAAAAACTAATTTTGCTAATTTTTTTTACAAAAGTTAACATAACTCAAACCTTCTTCAATGATCCTAGATTTATCCGCCTGAAACAGCATCCTTATTTGGCATATATTTTTCGACATTTTATGAAAGCAGCACATTAATATTATTATTAAAATTAATATAAAGACTAAGACTAAGATTAATTCAAGGATTCGAATCCCAGTGAACTCGATGAAGAAGTCCTAGAATGAAATGTGGTGATCTCCTAAATAGCAGCTATAACTTGTACCATTTATAAACTGTTGTTGTTTTTCCGCCGGAATTTTTCATAAAAAATGGCTCCAACCTCAAAAACGATGAAGATGAAGAATATATAGATTAAGGTAAGTTTTTACTATTATGCAGAAAAAACACTCATATAATAGGGTAAGGTATACGGGTACGTTCTTTTTCTTTTTGCAAAATGAACAAAGAATATTCTCTTGCAATCCGAATAATGGGACACATAACAAGGAAAGTGCATTATTTGAATTTTTTTAACTGTTTAAAAGAACTGATTTTATACGCATATGTCTGGAGGAAATGTAAAAGGCACTCCTATTTTTAGTGATATTCAAATAAAACTTTTGAGCTTTTGTCCGAATTTAGATTAATTATACTTATTAATGATTTATAAGCAAAACAAATATTTGACGCCGTGGTAAGCGCTTTGTTGTTTTCACACAAATGGATGGACCTATGTACAATTTTGTGATACCTAACAACGACAAATGGTTTGACATTTTGTACTTGGCGAGGTAGACAATTTTTTAGCCAGAGTCCTACGGAGTATTAGGACGCACCTTTAACGACTTGGTGGCCGCCATGGATTTGATAAATCGCTCTCGTCTACGATCCATTTGCATTTGCAAAAAATAATTAATTTGTATTCTATTGAAATTTGGGATTTAAATTCCGGCAAACATTTCAACAATTTTATTCGCAACCCACTGACCAAATTCGAATCTGGTTTCTTGATCTTCAAGGTTTTGTTTTTTTGATAAGGGTGAGCTTATGCATCCAATTAAGCCGGTATAATTTTCTCGCAATCACTCTTCAAAGCAAACACTGAATTTCAGCCTTTTTAGGTGTGTGTGTCATTAAATTAAGATTAAAATAAAATAAAACCGGTTTTTATAGCAAACAAAAAACAAATATTTATTTGTTGCTACCATAAAAACTTCAAAAAAATGTTAAAATATAAAGCAGACGAGCCCGAAGAAATTTCAACAATATAATAAATTTCAAGTTTGCTAATTTCATCGCGTCGCGACAAATGTGAAAACTGTATACACACACACATGCATATGTATGCACATGAAATAAAAGGTTTAATGTTAACAAATGTTTTTACCTACTCTTAATAAATTATATTCAAAAGTTCGTGCATACATAAATACACACTTATATACATACATGCAAATGTATATTGTGTGTACTTTTTGCTTGCGCGAAACATAATTTTTGCAGTGTAAAATTTTAATTAAATAAAAATTTATGAGACAAACAAAACCCATTGGCTTACCGTTAACCCATTTCCAGGTGCGCGAAGTAATGCCGGGCTCCTTCTGTGCGCCAATCCACACCAGCTGTGTCTTTAGTTCTGATTTGCGGCGTTCCAATTCGGAGAGTATATAATCATTGGCAGCGCCACGAAAATCGTGCACCAAATTGCCACCTACAAAAAATTTAGTAAGTACATAGTATAACAAATAAGCAAGAAACTTGCAACTTGCTGAAGTTAATTCGTGCAAAATAATGAATAACACATTTACTTATTTACTTGTGCCAATAAGTGAATTAACATATTCGATGGTATGCATACAAATATTCCCAACTTCACACTTACCCGTTGATTTGCACATTTGCTGCGCCTTCTCGAAATTCTCACCCTTGGTCACGTGAAACTCGTAGCAAGTTTTCGAGAATGTTGTCAACACCGTTTCCACACTCAGATTGGGACTAAGACAGCGATCGACGGAGAATTCATCATTGGTGAAGACTTCCACTTCGCACAAACTCAAACTGCCCTCCACACCCACCAATTGTATGGCAACATATTGGCCGATTAGTGGACGCGCGCAGGAAAATGTTTTAGTGACGCCCTCCTCCACAGTGCCGGGATACCAGGCGCATAGTGGATTGCGTTGCAAGTCTGCGCTGCTATTGCCCACGCGAATCTCCAGATCCTGCAGTGGCTGATGACCGCAACAGCCGCGTGTTGTGATGCGTACCACGCGTACAGCTTGTGGAGCTAACAGATCAACGCGCCACCATGGCGATGGTTCTTTTTGTGTTTCAGAACATTGCTGGCCATCTGGGTTCTGGAATAATGGGGTTTAAATGCAAATATAATTTGATAAATTTTGATGAATAATGAATAATTTACGTAATCTATATAATTCCTCATTTGACTAAATGCTTTTAGTTATAGTTTCAAGACAAAGTAATAATCAGTCGTTAAATACATACAATAACAAGACCAGACCTCTAGAGCACAACAGAAAAATTTTAAGGTGTCCACGGCGAGAATGCTGAAAGCCAAAAGGCCTGGTGTGAAACTCGAGTATGTAATATTCCAAATTGTGGATAGTGGAGATAATTGTTAACCAAGTTATATAAGTCTGCAGTTCATGATACGTGGGCAGTCAAATGGTATATGCTCTTGGTGTTTGTCTACCAACCCAAAAGACCTGCATTCCATGTCTACAGAAAGCCCCGTTTTATTCGAATGGTACTTTAACTTGCAGTGTCCTGTCAAATAGCCTGTAAGAGTACTAAGACCCTCCCGGTTAAGTTCAAGGATCCTTTCGAAGTTCCTTCTGAAAAGATTTATGAATTTCTTTGATTGTTTCATGCGCTTTGGCTTCCGCCAATAAGAGATTCTTTCCAGCTTCTATGTAGGTCCGCAGTGTATCCTTTAGATCTGCCGCACAAAGGTTCGAGCCATACAAATGCATTTGAGCTCCACGCTTTGCGAAACAGTCAAGCACTATGTTGCCTTGAAACCCCTAATGTCCAGGGACCCACCAGAGCGTTACTCTGTTCTCAGCTTCTAGGTGGTTCGAGAGGGTTTTACGACTGTCCACAAGCCTTGATGCCGTTCTAATTGAGTCTAAGGCCTTTACTGGCGCCTGACCATCAGGACATCCACGAACGCAGACTTTGAATGCGAGGACTCCCGCTTAGACATTATCACTTCACAGCAGTCTGTTTCACGAATTGTGACCTTCTAAGGCTTGTAGAAGGATAATTTCGTTTTTCTTTTTGGTTGTTTAATATGTATTCATTATTTTTTTATAACAATGTAGCTTGTTCTATACACATATGTACGTGTATATCGGATTCTAAAATTTTATACACATTTGAAAAACATGTCAACAAAGGGGTATGCTATCCTAACAAACTGCAGTGCATAAGTTAATAATATTTTTAGAAAAATTTCGGGCATACAGTGTCGTAGCACATTTAATTTTAGTATAACAAAGTAAGAGTTTGAAGTAGCTGCAAAATACCGTTGATTTTTGACAATTTATCTTTTTCAGCATCATGCATTCTCTTCATGATGCATTTTGTTGGACAAAACTTTTATATGGAAGAAATGCGCCGCCCTATTAATTTAATAGCTATACTCAGCATTAAACAATATTTCCACCAAAACTCGAGAAAAATATATTTACCTTATTACCCGGATTGCCATCGTTAGCGAAATTTGCCGGTCCCGCACGCGTATACGAACTCTGATTGACCGGCTTACGATAGGCAACATTTGTGCCACAAAATGGCACCTCACGCTCCCAGCCGTTAAACGGATCACATTTGATAGTGCGTGGACCAAAAAGCTCATAACCTGAATCACATTCATATTTTGCTTCTGTTATGCCCGCATCACCGGAGATGGTCTGTACTTTAGCATTAAGTGGCACAGCAGGTTGACCACAAACTGAAAGAAGACAAAAGAGAAGTGTTATAAGTACATACTTATGAAAGGATCGGTAAATAAGTAAAAAAAAAGTAGCTTATTAAATAATGTGAAATGTACATATAAACGGTTTCAAACTTAACAAATATCAAACACATGCAACTAGAAAAAAATTAAAATAGGCCGACAAGCTGTTAAGTACTAAGTAAACAAGCATTATTGCGGACAGTAACACCTTACAAACATACAATTAGTAGATATTACTAATTATTAGACTCTGCCAGATGCAGTTAATTAACAACAATTACATTACAATTTTCAATAGCTTTGATTGAATTTATGTTCCTGCTATGACGATCTCGAATAACGAAGTGGGCTTCAAGATATCATTAAAAAAAAAAAGAAAATTCGAAAAAGCTATGTACCTATCTTAAGAGCCCGTTCGTTACTAGTGTGCTACCGTAATAATTCCGCATGAGTGCGAACACAACCGATATTTACTTAAGCGAAGTAGTATATAAGTATGTATGTATGTATATCTGCAAGTACATACAAAAGTGCCTTTTGTCTGTCTGATATTTTCTTCGGTTTAGGTTATTGAACTGTCACGCAATATTTTTCAGTCATCGTTATTTATTTTCAGTTCATTCCACAGTCAACAACATCAGAAGCCCACGATTGTTGTGAACACCGGTTGACGTTGTCAACTAACCGCTGCATCACAATCGCTTCGTGATGAACGGCAATGTTTTTTTTTTTTGCTGTCTGCATACGTTTGCAGTTGTTATTAAAAATGCTCTGTATATATGTACATACATACATACATACATACATACATACATATGTACATATATAGGTAACATATCTTTGTATCATTTTGCATTTTGCATTTTGCTCGCATTGTAATACCATCATTATAATGATGGTTTCACCTCAACAGCTGAGAATGATCCATGGCTGAGTGGCTGCGGACGAGCGTGTGGGTTGCAATTCAGTGCAATCGACTGAGGGGGCGTATTGATACATACATACATATATACATACTTATTCCAACAATCTACAAGTGTCTACTTCATTATTCATTTGCCATTTTTGTAAGTTTTAGTGTCGTTATTTCATAAATCAAAAGCAAAGTGCCGATATGCGTAACCACTTTTGTCTAATTAAACTTGGAATTAGAGAATTATGTACCCACTTAGTTGGTTTTCTATTACTATCTCTACCTTCTCTTTCTTATATATACGAAATAATTGCGTTAGTCTCGCTAAAACTCGCAAACGGCTGAACCGTTTTGAATAGTTTTTTTTCTTTGATTTGTTCGCCAGAAAAGAATTAGAGAGTTTCCACCTTTTTGAATAAAATTAATTGATAAATTAAATATTACAATATGTGTATCAAACTAAAGAAGTTTAGGAAAGTTTCCGACCGAAAATATTTTTGAGGGTTGCCACCGGTACGAAATTTTATTAAAGTTAATTCATAAAATAAATGAAACTAGTGAAAGCGCTTGGCGTTAAAACGCCCAAAATTGAATTTCAAAAGCTTAAAAAATATTCCAAATGTTAGTCAGAGTTATAAGAGATCCGAGTGCAATATTTCATCAAAACCGTGCAGCCGCTTCTGAGTGAAGAGCAGTCTCGCATAGTGCCTGTTTTTATTTTCATCAAATTTCAAATATTAGTTCTTAGTTAAAAAAAATAAAAGTTTATCATACGTCTACTGGCTAAGGTCTCTAATTTGACCTATCATTTTTTGAAATTCTTTTTCAAAAGTATTCTCAAACTAAAATCAACTTAAATATCTTCGTCTGACATTGTGATACACATGTATTTCAATAAACTGATGAACTAATTCGAATTTGATTTTTCGAAAAAATGGCAACCCTCCTAAATAAAGGACAGGAATAAATCCCTTTCAAACCCTTTTCGATTTATTCCCATCTTTTAGTAATTCGTCCAACTTAACAATTTAAAAAAAAATTTAACAATTTATAAAAATGCAGTTCACTTTCCAAAGGCAGTGTCACGCGATTGGGCATTTGCCCAAAATTTGATTTTCTTTATCCCAATCACGACAAAATAATTTGTCAAAATTTTTCCATAGAAGTTCACTGTATTGTACCAATCGTGTGACTATAAAAAATTTTGGCGTCCCAACTTTTTTATTTTGTACCAATAGCCCAATATAAAAAATGTACAAATCTGTACGATGTACCAATCGTCTGACACTGCCTTAACAAAAACCATATAAGTACAAATTTCAAACTTTGTACAAAAATGAGCAAATCAAATCAGCAAAATTTTACAACAACAACAAACTTTTGACCAAGAATTATCAAAAATCAACGCGAATTTTTAGCCATTTTTTCTAAAAATTCTTGGTAAAAAGTTGGTTGTTGTAAAATTTTGTTGAATTTTTTCTAATTTTTCTACAAAGTTTGAAATTTATTAAAAAATAATAAACATTGAACAATAGCCAAAATTGGTCAAAATGTCGTGTTCCCAATTGTTTTACATGACTATATACATATATATCTCGGAAACTACCTCACCGCTTAGAAAAGTGTTGATGCCAATTTAAGGAAAATTTAAATATATGACGAATGTAAAACAAATTTTAGATAAACGCCGTTAAAAAATAAGGATATGCAAATTCGAATTTACCACCATTTTCGTTAAATTTTGCCTTTGCACAAATTCCACTTTGTTTTGACATTTCATATGACTACCTTAATTTACTCAATATATGTATGTTCTTTATTTTGTGCCAAATGGTATGGGGCCACATTTTTGGGTTTTCCATAGCTAAACAGTTCGTATTCCAGACTTGTGCTAAAATTAAGCAGCAATTTTTTGCAAATTGATAAAAACCGAAACCAACTTTTGTAAGTCATTATTAAAGCAGAACGAAGTGTGTGTCTGCGAAGAAATAAAAAAGCAGAATGTATTTTCGCATTAAGCGACTACATATTACCAAAACTATGACCCTATATTTCTTTAGAGTGAGCTAAGACCTTTGATTTAATTTGTATATGTAGAAACTAATTTATTTTCAGCACATTACTCTTAGTTTACTACATCAATATTGCTCTAAAACTTATTTGCAATACACGTTTTACTTTTTGGATTTACTCTTTCTTTATTAAATCATTTTAGACCGCTATGCGGTTACTTTATAGTTTGCAATTAACTTTTAGTTATAATTTGAAGGATTTTTGGAGCAAAACGCTACGCTTCATTCAATCGGCACACTTTGCTTATTTTGCAGTTTTAGGTAGGTTATATATTTAGTATATACACACATTTACATATGTAGTATGTGTAGGCATAAATACATGCAGCTCAGCCAGAACGACAGATATACAAAACTCGAATTATATGCGCTACAAACGTATAATTACTACACGAGGAAATACATTAATACATACAGAGTATATATCGCACATTTTCTGCAAGAATAACATAACCCAAAAAATCAATGAATACCGTTGCCTACTGGCTAGAGATGCAGGCATTCGACACCTGGTTCGACCAACATAACATTTTATCACATTTCAGTCACCCTCGGCAGCCCCAGTTTGCATTTCTGCCATGAAAATATTCACCAAATTAATTTTTATTCGTTAATGATCTGCATTTTTTAATAAATATAGTTCTCCGAAATACGTACATACGTGCGAAGAGCTTAATATGCTTGCCGAAATAAAAACACCCGAACATTTTATCAGAATGTTAAGTGTCTTACGAAAAGACTCAAGACTAAGCCAAAACTCTGTAAGAACAATTACTGAGGCCTAGTGACCGATGTACAGAACATATCTGACTCATGGAACGATAAGAGGAAAGGCCTCCAAGCAGAGCTATTCAAGTGCGGCGACGAGGAGTTATTTAAGTTCCGCAGCAACTCTTATGTAGAACAAGTGAATCCATTTGCGTTAAAACGCTAAAATAAAGAATTAAAATAGGAAATTAAAAAAAGATATGCAAAATTTGTTTTTGCATCAAACCAATCTAAATTGAGTCCTAAAAATTAATTAATTAATCCCTTTTTTCATCAAAAAATTTTAGTATGACTTATGTACATACATATATACCGTTTCTGAAGGGAGATCTCCCATGTTGTTGGTTTTTATTTTATCAAATTTCAAATCACCGTGTACCGTGCAAAATAAGTTCTAACTTCAAAAACAAAAAAAAACCTCATTGCCAAGTCCATTAATTTTGTACCTCATTTTTGAAAATAGTAGAACGAACATTGCAGATCTCTATGTTAAGCTGTAAGGTTATTGAGTTAAAACTCAAAATATAGGCTTGACTGAGTTAAGATAGTTCTCTGCCAGAGCTGAGATAGGATCGTCTGTCTTACAGCGCTGAGTTAACACAAAGTTAGGATAGTTCATTGAGTCAAGATAGTCTTTTGCACGGCCTTCAAGCTGGATCCATTGACGGCTATCGACCAGTTGAGATGTAGTAGCCCCCGACTTGTGCCACCTACCGGAGGATCAACCTCTTAAACATCGCCTATAAGGTCATGCCGAGCTTATTGTGTGAAAGGCTAAAGCCACCATCAATGAACTGATGGATTTTGTTGGATGTGCAGGACTGAAATTTGGCTGAAATCTTGGAATTTTTCTAAAATCCATAGACCACCACACGACAAATGAATAAACCCAATAAGATGAACAAATTGACAAATTTGAATTTAGAGAAATAACTTAATGGAAGCTAAATAAAAATATTCAGATTAGATTAACAATACAATCAAGTCTGTTTTACTATGAATAATATTCATGAATACATTTCAATGCAACACTCACATGCACTTCACTCGGTATTAGAGTTTGCTAATTAAAATAGCTAAAGTTCATGAATAGTAATTACTGTGCGATAGTGTAAATTCACCTCATCTCTATCTACTAAATAAAATAGGTACATGAAAATATAATATGTCGTTTTGTTAGTATGTGTCCGTAAGTTTTCACTGAGTGCATACATATGTATGTACATATGCCAAAATGCAAA